GTTTGGCTGAGATAAGATTAAGGGCTTGCTGGGCCAGGGATTTAGCTCAGTGGCACTGAGCCTGCCTTGCAAGCGCAAGGTCCGGAGTTAGATCTCCAGGGGGGGGTGGGGGGTGGAAACTAAGGGCTTGCTCAGGGAGCGGCTCAGGAGTGGAGATAGCAGAATGAGTCTGAGAAGAATTTCCAGCCACTTAGGAGGGGCCTGCTCTGTGGTAGGATTTGATTTAGGACCTCCCTCAGCCTCCGTTTTCTCATCTGCTTTGAGCAGTAGGCTTGGGTTGGGAAGTTCAAATAAGATTTATGTGGATGAAAGAGTTATGAATGCGTAAGTTTAGAGGTTACTGGAATTGGGCTCGGGCGGGAGAAGGGCAGAGAGGGAGTGGAAGGGATAGAGAAACGAGTAGGGAAGGGGAGAGCTTGGGAGACAGTGCCTCACAAAAGTGGTCACCCCGGCTGGGTCGGGCGGTGCACACCCTTCTGCCCAGCCTGGCAATTTAGGGAGATCCTGTCTCAAAATCAGAAAAAAAGGCCTGGGGATCTAGCTCAGTGCAAAGGTCCTGGGTTCAATCCCCAGTACTGGGGTGGATCACCCTTGTGTAACCCTAAAGTGGACTTTGAGGGGCAGGGCTGGGTCTCACTTCTCACTGAGGGTGGACGGTCTTGCTATGTAGTTCAGGCGGACTTTGAACTCACTATGTAGCTCAGGCTGGCCTCAAACTTGTATGCTTAACATGTTCTACTGTTTTTCTTTAATATTAGCTTGCTTTAAACACGCATTTTCTTTTTCCGGTACTGGGAATTGAACTCAGGACATTGTGCTTTACAAGGCAGGCTCACAACACTCATTTTTTTAATGGTGTTTTCCCTATCTTATTTTTGTAAGTCTTTGCAGATGCTGCCCCCTGTGCGGGAGGTCTTTTTGTCCCTATTCTACAAAGGAGAAAAAGGGAGGTTTAGGGAGGGGAAGGATAAGCGGAAAAGTGCGGTGCCGTAAACTGAGGATGGCCCTCCCAGTCCCACCTGGCTCTTCCCAATTCTGGAGCTCGTTCCCGGGTCGCTCTCGGGAGCGCCCCCTCATGGCCCGGGCCCTCCTCGCGGCCTCTTGCTGCCTACTGGCTCCCTTGCATCAGCAGGAGGCTCCCTTGCATCAGCAGGAGGCTCCCAGGAAGATTTGATGGGAAGGGCTGCCACCTGGTGGCCACACAGCAAACCCAACACTTACGGCGGAGGCTTGGGACTGTGGGGCTTGGGGGACCATGGAGGGAGCAGTGGGGAAAAGCGCAGGAGCCAGCTGGGGGTCGGGGGCGGGGTGGAACCCCAGCCACAAACCTCAAGACCTTGGAGGCGCGCGCATCCTCTTAGCCCGGATTTCATGCCTGCCTCGCCTTCAAACCCAGGCCAGGCGAGCGAGCGGGGGAGGCCCGGCCCGGCCCCAGGTGAAGCTCAGAGCCCAGCCACTTCCAGCTCCTCTAGCCCGCGGCTGTACTCACGCTCCCTCCCAGCACCTGGTGTACTTTCCGTCCGGTCTGGAGGAGCGCCTGCTGCCCCCATCCTACTTGGCTTTTCCTTACCGGGGCGCAGATGCTGGTGGGGCGCACCCCAGCCGCCCCTTCTGGCTGTCCTCACCCCACGGGGCCAGCTGTGCTTCTGCTCCGCAGTGAGCTCATCTCACATCTGAGATCGTGAGCCTCTGACCCGGCTTTATCTTTGCAGTCCCAACCTCCGACGGTGCCAGTGTCAAAACCGTGCCCAGTGACTGGGAAGGTGCATGAATGTCTGAGCGGAAGTCTCCTGCTCAGCCAGCCCGTCTTCCTGTATGGAAACCCTCGACCCTCTAACCTCACTCTTTCTGAAAGGCCCTGGAGGCTGTGAGCAAGGGGGAGAGCCCGAAAGTACTTGTTCACGTCAGGCCCGGGTGGCGGGAAAATTGGGGTGGGAGAACTTGCTAAGCAATAGGAAGCCAGGCCAAAGAGGAGAGGGCATGGCCTCCTCCATCCTGCCAGCCCCTGCGTACAAATCTCTCCCTGAGCCAAAAGCTAATGCTTTAGTTTCCACTTATATACAATCTTTGCTCGGAACAAAGACTTAAAAATAATAAAAACAAATATAATATTAAGTACTTACCACGTGTCATTGATACATCTCATTAAATCACAGCGGCGGCCATCCTCAGCTCCGACCTAGGATGAGTGAGTGCTTCCTTGAGTTAATTTACACTGAGTTTCTTTCTCACAGCAGTTAATTAATCCACATGGCCTTCCAGTTCCCACAGGTATTTTTGTTTTGTGGTACTGGGGATTGAGCCCAGGCTTTACACGTGCTAGGCACACTCTCCCACTGGGCTACAGCCCCAGCCCTGATCCCACTTTCATAGAGCGATCAATCAGGTCTGAGCCCCAGGCAGGCTGACTTGAGACTGCATGGCCTTTTGGGGGCAGGGGTAACGAGGGGGGACTTTGCTAAGTTGCCGAAGCTGGCAATGAACTTTCAATTCTCCTGCCTCAGTCCCCTGAGTAGCTAGGATTATAGGCGTGTACCACCACGTCTGGAAGAGTGGACCATACTAGTGAACCTCTAGGCTGTGCTACCTTTCCAAAATTCTCTGTCAGTCAGTTGTCCTGGTCATTCTAGGACTGGCCTAAGGAAAGGCAGGAGAGGAGTCTCCATTGGAAGCTGCTTCCCTCTCCCATACTGAGGAAGTGTGCTTACATAGGCTGTAGTGAGGAGCTGGGTTGGGCTAGGTGTAACAGAAAATCTATGGCGACTCAAAGATGGCGGACTCAAAAGAGGCGAATCCAGGCTCCTGTGAAATTCTGTGCAGTTCTCTCTGGCATACCTACCCCTCAGAGGCTGGATGGGGCCTAGAAGTCCCTTCCCTTTCTGAGCCAGTGAGACACCACACTGTGCCAATGCCCTCACAGCTCCCGGCACACCAGGGCCCGACTGCTTCCTCAAATGGCACAGTCACAGGCCAGCTGGACCTGGGCCAAATCACACAGGAGGGAGGGGCTGCCTTGGGCCTCTGTCCTCCTGGAGGGAAACAGCCTGACCCAGTGCTGGAGAAGCGAGCTGTTCACAGGTGGTTCTTTGAGGCCTCTCCAGACAAGCTTTTCTCACCCAGCTCCCGTGCTGGGAACTTGAGCAGAGCTCGTGAGGCCTGCTTTCCAGCAGGCCCTGCCACTCTGGCTTTTCTCCCACCTGTGGAAAGCACCCTTGGCCCGGCTGGGTGATGGGAAGGCACAGGGATGCAGCCCTCAGGAGGGGCTCTGGGTGAGAGGACAACTGCCTAGAACAGTGCTGGGGAACCGAAGGCATGAGTGCTGCAGCAGGCTGTTTGTTAGCATTGAAAGAAAGGCCGTTACTGGCCTGGACTTCCAGAAGTTCTGAAATCGGACACAGCCATGCTTCAGTGTGATCCCACCACTTACCTGGGATGTTTCCTTACCTGCAAAGTGAAATGGTAATGGCAGCTCATCCTTGGAGTTCATTTGCTTGATTTACCTCCATCTTCTCCTCTGAGGTGGCAGTTACCTTTATCCCAGTTGACGGCCTCTTTACCTCTTCCCTCATCTCACCTAGGCGATGCCTCTTCTACATGCTGCATCCAGAGAACTTGTCTATTAAAACTAATGACTTCCTGTTGCTTTTATTTACTTATTTTGGTTTTGAGTCAGGATCTTGCTCTGTAATTCGGGCTGGTCTTGAACTCACTGTGTATAGCACTGGCTGGCCTCAAACTTGAAGCAATCCTCCTGCCTCAGTCTCCCGAGTGCTGGGATTACAGGCCTGCGCCACCATGCCTGGGTCCCATTGCTTTTAATGTTAAAAATAATCTGCTCTCCAACGTGTGTCTTCTGAGTTGGTCTCTTAGGAGTTCCTGCCTCCCGACTGTCGTTGAACTGACCCTGCTGCTTCTGCCACAGTCCACTGCATCTGCAATGCTTTTCCTTCTCTTCACTGCCCAGCTGCTGCTGAACTTCGAGAGTGGAGCAATTTCTGTGGCATCCTCAGCCTAAGCCACATCCCCAGGGATAAATCTATCCTTCCAAAGCGTCACTGAACGCCATGTCATTTTCACTTCTTAGTGTCATTCTTTGCCTACTGTCTGCTCTTCTGCCCTATGCTTCATAAGGAGGTAGGCTGGGTTGTGTCTACTCACCTTCCATAACCAGGCCAGGCCCAGGCCCCTGTGGAAGAAGCTCTTAGTCAGATGCCGCTGCAGAACGAAAGGTAAGGATGCCATGAAAATCCTGCATGCAGAGCTTAGCACTGTGTCTTGGCACCAAGCAAGGGCCAGGGCCCATTAGCTGTTGATGATACCATTTCTTTATCTGTAGGAACTCTGTATAGAAAATATTCATGCAAACCAAAAGGCCTCCTCTTACTAGGGTTGCCCCAAATGTGCAAGTTTTGCAGTAAATTGATTTAGCCTGGAAGAAAATATGAACACACTCAGAGCCACACAAACTTACTCAAACCTCCCAATGTGGTGAATGCACTCCCATTCGGGTCTGGCAGAATTAGAACATGGTGGCCGGGACCCAACCTAGTGTGGGCCAGCCCAAAGGGCCTCACCGCTCACCCACACCAACCTCAGACTCTCCTCTCCAGCAGGCGGCGCCACAGAGGCAGACAGAGACCTTTCCAGAGGAACTAGCGCCGTTAGGGGCATAACAGGAGAATCCAGCAAGAGCTCCTCCAGATATTCAGAGGACAGGTCCAGCATCTCCAACCCGGAAATCTGAAATCTGAAATGCTCCGATATTTGCGTGCTGACATGAGGCTCCAAGTGGGAAATTCCATACCATGAAGGTTTATTTCTTGCACAAAATTAAAAAAATTTTTTTTTGCATAAAATTACCCTCAAGCTCTGTTATGTATAGGCAGATATTCCAAAACCAGAACAAATGTGAAATCCCAAACATTTTGGTCCTGACCATTTCAGGTGAGGACGCTCCCCTTTCCTCCAGCCCAAAAGCATTTCCACAGAAGACCAGTGTCCACAGGAGTTTTAGAGACTTTTATTTATGTATAAACAATTTAAACACTTTGCCATAAATTATCTTTGCCTGTCCCTAGTCTTTGCTTAGCAGCAAATTAAAATTAATATAAAAACTCGATGAACAATTCATACATGTATATTACAAAAAAGTTCCTGTACCAAAGTTCTTATTAGACTTTTTTTGTTTTCGTTTTTTATGTTTTTAAAATTTTTTTGTTTTTATTTTTTATTTTTTCTCTCCTCGTGGTGACTGTCATGTGATTGTCTCAGTTTCTGGACCAAACAAACACACTAATAATTTTAAATCTGAAACAGTGATTGTGCCTTGCGGCGGATGTATGTACAGGGTGACCGGAAGTGGTACCTGTTAGCAACAGAGTCACAATGCCGCACCTCTACCGTAACTGATACCCACGAACTACGGAATCTAAACAGACTACACCCTGTAACTGCGTTTTACTGTCCACAATGGAATCGCCAAAGACAAAAGAGTATGAGATTTATCAGTAGTGAGTATCGCCACCATTTTGAATTAAATTTTACACTCTGCGCTCAAATAAATTAGCTCAGGCCAGACTAAGTTGAGACCTGAGAGTTAAGTGCTGGACGGTATTATTTCTCTTGGACTTTTGATATGAATTTTTTTCTTGTTTTTCTTTTTCTTTAAAAAGTATTTCCAGTGCTCACTCCTCCACTTTTATGCCCCCCTCCCCAGGCGCTACACACAAATCACCCCCAAAGTCATGTTTTTCAATGCACCTGTATTTGCTTAAACGAAAACGTCGGAAGTGTCTGTCCAACAAGCAGTCTGAATTGTTGTCCTCAGCTGGTCTGGTGTCGCTGGCCCTTGTGAATGTCTCCGTGTCGCTCACGTGTGAATGAGTGAGGTAATAGGATATGAGGCCTTCTCGTCTTTATTTCTTTGTTTTACTGTCGGTGTGTGTGTTTTTTTGTTTGCTTTTTTTTTTCCCGTTCTTTTGTTCCTTGCGGATATTTTGCGTCTCTTTTCTGTGTTAGGCCCAGAACAAGTGGGCCATATTTGAGGGGAACTTGGAACATTTTATATGCTTGTTCATTCACTCATCTGTTTGTGTTGATTTCCTCAGAATTTGCAGCCAGGCTTTAGTCTACTTCAGGATGAGGGACTTCTTGCTTGGACAGTAGCATTGGAACTCAAAAAATGTGAGCTTTTTTGCCACTTGGAATCCTAAAGCAGCCCAGCCTCAGTGCCCCTGTTAGGTCTTCGTCTCCTTAGGAGAGGAGATCACAGTTACTCGTGCTGAGCCATCCAGCCAAGGAATGGCAACAGATTATTTTGTTACCTCTTTCCCATCTCATTCTGTCTTAAGAACTGGATGTTGCTGCTACTGTCTGCGAGCTCTGGGTACTGCTCGACCGGAAGCACGTAATAGCCCTCATACCCTTGCACGCGGCCTGAGCTCAGGAGCTGCTGCTTCTCGCCCTCAGTCCACAGGCGGCTGCCCTCGCGCCCATCCCTGGCTTTCTGCTGCTCCTTGGCCCAGGCTGTGCCCAGGGCCCTCTGTCTCGCCTGGTCCAGGACTCGGGCCTTCTCTTCGTCCAGGGTGTCGGGGGTGAGCCCGTAGCGGATGCTGAGCAGCAGCGTGGAGTACTGGAACTCGATATTGGTGAACCTTCGAGTCCTGCCATTGACCAGCAGTGTGGGCTGCGACACGGTCACGTTCACACCGCTCTCCAGCACCTTGCGGCCGAGGGTGGTACCCAGGGTGACCAGATCGCTGTCGGCAGAGCCGATCTTCACAAAGTAGTGAGTGTCCTTGCCCTCGATGCTGTAGTGCATCTTGTCTAGGTAGTAAGCGTTGTTCAGCACAGATGCCACCTTGCGGCTGTCCTCACTGGCAATGCTGGACACACCGGTGCTCACCCGCCCTTCTTTGATGGCAAACATGATGCCTTTGCCGATGATGGGCGTGGTGGTGGCGAACCAGTGGCCTGCTTTTTCTCGGATGTTGGCATGGAGCTTTTTCGAAATGACCTGCCCTTCCAGAGCCAGAAAGGCTTGATTGTGCCTCTCCGTGGTCTGTTGGACACCTGTAATGAGCTGTGGGAGCAAGACAAACAGAGAACGCTGAGAAGGGGGTGGGGGTTCAGTGAGAAAGAGCCGCGAAGAGAATGGCTTGCAACTCCCCTGCCACAACTATGTCATGCGTGTCTCCTACGCACCAATACCATCCTCCCTCTGGAGCCAGGGCAGGCTGGCTGGCGAGCAGAGCTCTGATGGGTGGCCTGTATGTCTTGGACTGTGCCACTAACCAGCAGCCAGTGAGGGAGGCGTGCTGTTGTGTGAGCCCCCACCCAGGTTCACCAAGGCCGGAGCAGTCACTGCACACTCGTGGCGTGGCAGCTGCCTTGCACACTTTGACCCAGGAGTGTGCTGCCCCGCGGGGCAGGTGGCTGCTGAGCCCGAGGCCAGTGGGTTAGGACTCCGAGAAGGGCCAGCGGCTAGAGGATGACTGGCACCCACCCCGTGAGCTGAGCAGAGTCTCAGGCCTGGCTCCAGAGCTCCAAAGCCAGCGGCTGCATGTTAACAAGCACTCGAGGCAATCTGTGTGCATACAGACGTTTGCAGAGCACTAGGGCGCGAGAGCCAGGCTTCGAGGGCCAGAGGGAATGGCCCCCGACCCTGAGTCCCTGCTTTGGATCCCAGCCCTGGTTCTGCGGAGGGATGAAATTACCATTATCTCCTTGGCCTCGAGTCCTCCCTCACAAATGACAACTTGTCTCGATTGGTGGTTGGGGGACAGGCTGGGATAATGGAAGAGGCTGTATTTGGGAGGTAACGGCACTTAGATAAATGAAAGAAATGATGGCTATTCATCCACTGAGTGGTCCCCAAGGGGCAGGACGGAGAGAACGCTGCTCTCAATTACCCAGCAGCTCCTCCTTGCCTCTCTATAGTTACACAATCTGGACAATTATTCACAGCAGCTGAGACCTCGCAGACTTTTATAGTGCCGAGCGCTCGCTCTGCAGCAGGGGTTAGCGGAGCGCAGATGCCTACCCCTCCCCTCTGATCGTGGCGAGGTCTCAGCTGCACCCAAATTGAAACTGACCACCCTCCGGTCATCACAGAAAGACCCAAGTACAAATTATGTTCCAAAAACTCAATCTGTATACATTTGGGCCATAAAGCACCGGGGTTTTATGTGGGGCATAAAAATGTGCTTTAATGGGACAGAAACTGCGAACCACAGTTTTATTACGTCCCATAAAAGCTGAAAGGGTTATGATCTTATAGGCAGTGCAGATGGTAGGTTGCTGCTAGATCTCTCCGCGCTGTTGTTAATCAAGGAGTGACTCAAGGGTATATACCAAACAGATAATGATGCACAATTAAGGTAATAATCGGAGCTGGGAAGAAATACGTGCTGCAGCAGACGGGTGACAGCACTGACATTCACTTTCCGGGGAAGCCCCAGTGGCTCCTGAGCCTTTTATACCCAGCCCCAGTGTTTTCTTCTCCAGACGCCCACCCAACTCCTGAGTGGTTCTGTTTGCAAAAGGGGCTGGTGACAATCACTTGTATCCCTGGCAGGAATCCCCGCTTACCTGTCCGTTCTCACTTGCTTGACTCTCTGACAGTTCATAGGGAGGAGGCACAAAGTACATTTTGGCTCTTGGGAAGCCAGGGATTATGTTGCTAAGCTGAAATCCAAACATCACAAGCCAGCTTTTCACATCTATGGCAGAAACAAAAATAAAGATTTCTGAAATCGGGATGGATGGAAAGCTGCAGTGGATTTCAGAGAGAGAGAACAAAGTAAAATGGGTGGTTGGGTGTGGGTCCAAAAGAGAGACGCAGGTCCTGGGTTTGGATCCAAAGCTTCTTTTCAGGCTCTGAAAGGCCCTGTTCCTCCCAGCATGACTGACAGATAACCACTGGGTCATGACTGAGAAGGTCGGTGACACATCTGGCTTCAGATGTATCCTCTTGCTGTGTGACCCTGCCTAAGTCCCTGGCCCTCTCTGAGCCGCGGGCTTCTCAGATATGAATGGGGATAATAACTGCACCATTATCATTGGGTTGTTGTGAAGATCAGAGGAGAAAACCCACGGTAAGGACTCATCACAGTGCCTGGCTCTGGACGTTTCAGTTAATGTGAACCCCTTCCTGTGCCTGCCACATTTTTACGGGAGCATCTACCCTGGTTCAGGCAACATGTGAGGAGACAGATACAGTGAGCAGTAGTAAGGATCCGCGGTGATTACCATCACGGAGCAGGACACTGGGGCTCAGGCTGAGGCTGCTGCATCGAGGTGGGCCACACCGAATGGCATTTCAAGGGTTGGAAATGGATGGGATGCAGTGTGCCGGCTCTCGAGACCCACTTCTTATCTCCTGCTCTTCAGAGAGAGCTCTGCACACTCAGAGTCAGGCCCTGTGCCAGGGGCCATGCTCGCGTCCCCTGCTGGGGGAGTGGTACCGCCTGGCCCACACTCTTCCCTCTGCTAACTTGGTCCGGGCTCTCAGAGTGAGGAGGCCTCCCCAGGCCTCCTAGCCTCCCTGCCCAGCAGTGAGCGGAGTCCTGGATGGCGACCCCGTGAGACATTTGTATCTTCACCAATGCCACTGTCCTGGGCCCAGAGCCAACCTCATGTGCTCCTGTGCCGAGCTCATGCTTTACGGCCCGCGTTCCCCTCCCTTGCTGCCTCGTCCCTCCTCTCCCCCATGCCGGGAATACTTCCACTGGGCCTTCTAGAATTTGCATGTTGTCAGGAAAGCCCCCACAGCTTTAGTCTTTTCTCTGAACATTTCTCTTTTGCTATAACTGAATCTATATTTCAAGAACATGGACCTCCCTGGTCCTCCCCTCTGTCAGGCACTGGACCCAGCAGTGCAGTGGACCTTGTTGGGTTTGATGGTGATGCCTGGGCCACGCACCTGAATGTTTGGAAGTTTTTAGCTTCTGCACCACGTTAGCCTCTGTCTCTGATGTGAATTAACTCTCACTGGTTTCACTAGACAGACAGCTGGTCCATCCAGCATCCTGGCCTTAGTTCCTTGACCGCTTCTCCTTGGATGATCATTACCCCACTTGACTCTCATGCTCCAATCTGGAAGGTGTGATTCCTGATACAGAACTGTGACCCTACTGTGTCAGTTTCACGCATATCTTCCCCTCTGACCACTGCCTCTTCTAGCTTGCTCCATGCGTGTGTGTGTGTGTGTGTGTGTGTGTGTGTGTGTGAGAGAGAGAGAGAGGGACTGGGTATTAAATTCAAGGCCTTTGCACTGAGCTACCTCCACAGTCAGTTTCCTCCTTACTTCCTTTTGTGGATTTTTTTATGTTGAGACAGGATCTTGCTAAATTGCCTGGGCTGGCCTTGAACTTTAGATCCTCCTTCCTCATCCTCCCACAGTGCTGGGATTACAGGCATGCACCAACCACACCAGGGTTAGTTTACCCAGTGCCCTGAATCTTCTGATCTTTGCCTCCCAGGGCCTTCCATGCTAAATTTTCCTCCTGTCCCTCAACTTCCTGGTCCTGCCTCTCTTACGCAGCATACATTCCTTGGCCAAACACTGAATCCACCCTCTGGGTAAGTATGCATTTCCTTTCATTTCATTAGGTGAGACTGCAAACTGGAGTACAGCCAAGCCTCTGCCTATTTCAGGGTTGCACTTGTGCAGCTGAATGTGGCTGCTGAAAAAATCATCACCGTGCTGACAGGCGTCACTTTGAACTCCTGACCACGAACCCATGTGTGTCTTCCTGCTGCCTGGCACTCTTACTGCTGTCCCTTGCTCCGTGTACTCATTCTCGTCCTCTTGGAGAACTCTGCATCTTCTCTTCTCTCTGAAAACCTCCAGCACCCACTTTCCCTTCCTCCCTCCAGCAGGTGACCTTGTTTCCTACTCTTCTGAGAAAATAGGGGCAGCCAGAGGAGGGCCCTCCTAAATTCCCACCACAGTTGCTAATGGTACCGTGATTCCCATGTCTGTACCCAGGCTCCCTGCTTTTCTCCTGCTCTATTGATGGGCTGCCCCCTCAACCCTCCAGCCACCATGGCGGAGGGCGCAGGCCTTCTTCCCAAAGGCCTTCCCACTCCAGCAGTTCTCTCTCTCAGTTTCCTGCCTCTTCCAGTGGCTCAACCCCATCAACATACAAACTGGTCCTGATATCCCTCCTTAAAACACTTTCTTTTCAGTCATGACTTCTTTTAGCTACACCCTTTTCATTTTACCCTGTACAAAAACCTCTCAAACTCAGTCTAATTCTCTATACTCTTTGTTTCCCATTCTTTTCCTTCCACTGTCTACCCCTCCCAACTGGGAATTGAACTCAGGACTTTGAGTTTGCCAGGCAAGCGAGGTACTGCTGAGCTACATCCCTGGCCCTCCTACCATTGTGTTTTGGATCAATCTTTTGCCTCCTCTACTGCATGGAAACAACTCCATCAAGGTCATGAATGACCTCCATGTTGCTAAGCAAGCCCTGTGCTGATCACTTAGGGACACCCATTTAAAAAGAAAGTACATCACTCCCATAAATGAGAAAGCAGACTCACTTGTTGCTAAAAGAAAATGACTGTAAAATTAACACAAAGGAAACAAAGTCACACAACTAAATTAGAGCACCATTTTGTTACCTGCTACTGAGGGAGTCTTAGACCTGCTGTCTCTGTTGAAAAGGGAGATTAGAAGTGTTAATGAGGTGTTTAATACGTACCAGCACCAAGCAGGGACTTTCTCTTCAACTGAATTGGAAGAATTAAGAAAGCGTCGAGAAGGGACTGACTTTTCTCATCGGTATTTCAGTGTTATTTAATACCTTCTCCGGATACCACGGAAAACCCTCCCATCATTCACCAGGGATATATAAGATTTCTGGAGAATTCCAGAAAAAGCCTGCCCTCCTGGAGAACTCGAGGAAGTCCTTGTCCTCAGAAGACCCTCTCCGTCATCAGCTGTTTCCTTTAAGGAGCTCTTGCCCTAGCCTAGGATTCCCGTAGTGAGGAGGGAGGAGGAGAACTTCTGACTTTGAGACAGGATTTTAATGATCACTCTCATGAACAGTAATAGCTTATGTCATTTATCTTTTTCTTTCCCTTCTCCTCCTCCTCCTCCACATCCCTTTCTTCCTCTTCTTTTTCTTCTTCTGCTTTAAAGTCTCTATCATGATTTTGCTTCTGTGTGTAAACCTACTCTGAAATGTCTATTCAAAGCTCTCATCTTATCTTCTGCTCCACAGACATAGTTATTCCTCTGGAGTCATTGGTTCAATCTGGTGACAGGCTCCTTAGACCAGTGGTGGTGAAGCCATGGCACGCGCACCGCAGCCCATATGCTGGAATGCGAGCCAAGTTGTCCCGGCAGCTGAGCATTGACTATTCAGGTTTAAGTGCAGTGTTGGCACTTTGCAACAAATAAGTGGGGTCTGGGTTGCAGTTTGGGTACTCGGTCAGTTTCTAGAAGGTTCGCCATCACTGCCCCAGACCATCTGCTGAGAGGAAGTAAAGACAGGTGAAGTCATTCATCCGAGTTGAACAGCAAGCGATGGCTGAGGCCAGAACTGGTGTTTCCAAAGTGGTCAGAAGACAGCGCAGAGCTTGGGGCTGGGTGCAGGTCCCACAGTGTCCAAGACTGCAGGGGTTCCTGGGATGCTAAAGTTGAAGAAGTCTAGGACACTACAGATTGTTGGGAGGAGCCTGCCCTCAATGTCTTACACCTTGTCCTCTAAGATCTTTTCATTACAGATGTACCAATTGTCCTGCTAGAAATGACTTAAAACTAACTGAAAAAGAGGGCTGCTTTAGAGTCCACAGGTGGGAAAAGAATCACTTGCTCCCCCCTCTGTCCGTTTGGGGCAGAGAGACACCCTAGCGTGGGTGCCTGAGTGCCTACACCTCCCGTACTCCATGCCACTTTGCTTTGCACCAGCATGCCGGGCGAACACAAATCTTCCTCCCGAGTTGGGAGCTGCCACTTGCATTCAGAGAACTGTGTTTCCAAACAGCAATGGTCCTTCTGGGTACAGGAGAGAGAAGGTTCTGTTCTTCCCGTTCCTCCCGACTACATCTTAATTACCTCTTCTGTTTAAATTGTGAGCAGCAAGTTCAGCCACTCTGTTAGTCTCCTAAGTGGCAAATTAAGACTAATTTAGATGGGGTTTACAGATGAGCCGGCACTGGAACAGAGGAGCACGATTTGGTGTTCTCTGCGCGGAGCTGCTCTCCAAGGGTCACCTCGTGGTGAACAGGTGGCAGCAGTTGTGGGCTGTGCCTGGCCGGGCTCCCTTTTCCGCCTGGTTCTCTTCCTTCAGCTGCGACTATAGGCATTGGCCTGGTGCACGCTGCTTCTCTGATATAGCCCTTTATTTTAGATTTTTTTCTAATGGCTTCTGGATTCAGTCTGGTTGGATTCAGTTCAAATTGATTTGATTTCCATGTATTGAGACTCCAGGAAGCATTGGAACGAGGAAAGCCATCTTGCTATTCAGAAAACCCTGCTAATTTTCTTTTTCTTTTTGGAGGGAAGCAGAGAAGTACCTGAGGGGGCTGGTGAGGTGGACTGTGTCCTGTGAATGATTCTGGTTGGGACTTGGCGGCAGCAGTATCTGCTCGGCCCACTCTCTGGGCTTCTCTTTATTTGCCTCTGACTGAGTCCAGCACCAAGCAAGCCTCTGAGAGGCACATGGTGCAGGGGACAGGATTCTTCGCTCTGGCTAAGACAGGCATGGCCAGTCTCCCTGTCCACCTCGCTTCCTATCCAATTCATAAAGGTCATGGCACAAATGCTACCTGCTCAGAGAGGCCTTCTGTGATCACCCTAAAGAAAGGAGATTCTTCCCCTCATACTCTGTCTAACCCCTTATCCTATTTTATGTGTCTTCATGGCACTTATTATTATTATTTTTTTTCCCCCAATATTGGGGATTGAACTCAGGACCTTGTGCTTGCTAGACAGGCATGGCGCCACTGAGCTACATCCCCAGCCCTTCGCGGCACTTATTGTTACCTGATCTATTTGTGTATTTCCTGAGAGGCACTTTGATTTGAAGTTGCAGTGAGCTGGGAGACACTGTCACGCTAAGCCCTGGGGAGGAGGGCCATGGGCCCCGATGAGGTGCAGGGGGAGGACGGAGAGAAGAGATAGCCTGGCCATAGTCCCTGGGCACAGAGGGTCCTAGCTGCTTCTGCTGGACGGGAGGCTGGGGTCACCTCAGAAACTCTGAAACTTGTCAGTGAAATACTGTATGACATGAGTCAATTTCTGAGGTCTTCCATGAGACACTGAGGACAACATGCGCTCCAGGTAGTGGCTGCTTCATTTTGTGCCTTGGGAGATGGACAAGTGACCCCTGGTTACTTGAATAATGAGCCTCCATGACCCACAGTCAGGAGCTGTGAGTTTCTTGGAACTTGGGGACCCCTGGTCTTGGGGTTTGGTTTCCAATGTTGGTTCTCTACACAGTGCATCAATAGGTGAGATGGCCCTTATCTACTTCCTGGAATTTGACCCTTTGGGGCCCAGTCACTTTGGATCCATCCATGTTTCATCATATGACTCCTTTGCTTATTTCCCCGAAGACAGGAACTCTGCCCTGCTCCCCACTGCATCTCTTGTACTTAGTGCATGGAAGATATTCCTAATACGGTATCTAGGGAAGGGATGGATGGTTGGATGGATGGGTGGATGCACAGGAAACCTCATTTCACATGTGTCATGCAGAAGCACGTCATCTGCCCTCTGTGGCCCCTCCATCTATTCTCCTCTCCAAGGTTCCCACGTCCTTCTGTCCTTTCCTTCAGCCTCAGCCAACCTAGAGCCTATTCCTTCTTCAGGCCCAGTTTGACATGGGCCCTTCTATATGGTCTCAGATCTTCCAAATCTGAATTGATCTACACACACACACACACACACACACACACACACACACACACACGTGTACATACACACAAACCCTCGAGAGAAAGGTGTTTGTCTTGTTCACCACTGTATCCCCAGAATCCCAGGTGGTGTCACCCTGTGAGCCTTGCTTTCTGGATAAAAAACTGAACAGGCACCTATGTAGCAGCACAGATTCAATTTTGCTCTGCACCACTGCTGGATATTTGTATATATATTTCCCCTCAGGCAAGCCCCTGGAGGTCAGCAAGCGGGTATTAGTTATCTCAATACCCATGCTAACTCATTGGTTTGCTAGGAACAGCAGTGTTTGTAACACAAACAGACAGCACTTCATGAATGTCTACTGTCTAAGTGCCGGGCCCAGCATTACCTATGTAAGTTCCTTATTTCTCATGGTCACTCTATGCAATGGCTTTATCAGCACCTTTCCACAGAGCAAAACGAGTTCAGAGAAATTGGACAGCTAGTCCCAGATCTTCTGGCTCATAAAGGGAAGAGACAGAATTTGAACTGGATCTTTCTAACACTAGAGTCCCATTCTGCATCCCTTTCTTAAGCAGATTTCCTCTGTTGGGCTAGGAACAGCTCTTCTAAGAGGTATTTCAACAGAAAAAACTTGTAGCAGCCAGGAAATCTTCACACAGACCTGGGGATTGCTCTGCATCACTGTCCCTCTACTTTTTTAGACACTGTCCTGTTGTCAGCTGCACTGCCCATGGCTAACGCTTCCCACGAGCTCTCTTACCATCAAATGTCAGCCCCGCTTTGAAAGTTCCCATCAGTCCACCAAGACAACCACCCAGGGGGCGCCACTGCCCACCCGAGGCTGTACAGCCCTCACCTGTCACGTAGTTCTTCAGATCCAGCTCGTTGCTGAGGGGATTGTTGCTCTTGAACATATATAGGTTAAAGGGGGCCGGCTCCTTGCCCACGTTTTTCCACATGGTGTAGTCTGGGGAGGTCCACCGTCCTGCCAGCACATCATAATCACGCTGAGTAAAGTGGACCAGCTTGGTCAGGGGGTCATAGAGGCCCCCGTGGAAGCCGATGACCATCTGGAAGTCAGGGTTGGAGTCGTAATAGATCTCCCCATAGGCCGTGTACTGCAGCTGCTTGATCATGAGCCCGTTGATACTGAACACAGCCAGTGGTGTCCCTGTGTTATCTGACGCCACGTAGTACTCCTCACCACTGCTGCTCTCCATGGCAAAGAGGTGACCCTGGAGGTCATAGTACAGTGAGGTGATCTCCGAGTTGGAGTGATTGTACACATGGGTGATGCGCGTTGGGTTATGTAGGTCAGAGTAGAAGTACTGCAGATGGTGGCCCAGGTTGGTCTTGTAAGAAGCCCGCCGCCCCACACCATCGTAGCGGTACTGGACACTCCATCCACTGGCCTTGTTGTATGCTCTCGTGAGGAGGCCCTTGGAGTTGTATTCGAAGATGTCAGCACCTCGCTGGCACAGATAGCCATCGTCATCAATTTTGTACTGCACATCGCCCAGTCGGGTGATGCGGTCCCGGAGGTCATAGCGCAAGGGCATGAGGCGCACGCTGTTGCCAGGGTTCAGCAAGTGCAGGTTGCCGTTGAGGTCGTAACTGTAGCGCCAGGTTGGGCGGTCGTTGACGGCCACGCTCTGCAGCTGCCCGTCGCCATCATAGTCATAGGTGTACTTGGTGGTGTTGGCATAGGGCCCCAGTTTGAGCTCCCTCTTGATCACCCTGCCCATGCTGTCATACTGCACTGTCATCCAGTACATGAGTGAACGGAACATCTCGTACTGGACCTCCTTGATGCGCCCATGGGTGTCAAAATGCTTGCTGAGGGTCATCACGGCAGTGGTGATGATCTGGTTGATGTCATAGTAGATGACTCCAAACTTGCCAAAGTGCTCCACTTTGCCAGAAATCTCATCATAGCGGTAGAGGTCAACCGGAAGGGGCGTCTCACTTATGACAGGTTTGATACTTGCGATCCGGAAACTGTTGTCATGATAGGTATAGTCAAACCTGGCATTGATCATGCCTTCCTCTGAGAACCTATAGATCTGCTTGTCAACGAGTGGGCCAATCTTCCGGTACCGGATAGTGCAGGAGAAGCCCCCGCTCTGGAGGTTGACCATTTTCAAAACGCCGGTGGTCTCATCGTACCCAAAGGTGACAGCAGTACTGTCATAGACAATCTCCGACAGCTTGGAGAGTTTTCCATACTTGTAGAACACCTGGCGCCCAGTGCCCAGAAAGGATGTCTTCAGGATGCGGCCGTCATCACTGTAGTCAAAGATGACCGAAGCGTTGCTTTCAGGTGGGTTGTAAATGTTGCGGATGTAGCCAATGGAGGTGTGTGTGGACATGCTATGCCGGGCGACACTGGGCATGGTGACGGCGTGGAGACGCTCAGAGGAATCGTACTCAAATACGTACTGACGTTGACTCTGAAGCAGGAGCACCATGGACTAGGGGAAGGAAAGGGGAAGGGAACACATGAGTTGGCTCTTGTGCTCGAATGACAGAGTTTATTCCGTTTCCTCATGTCAATTTAAAAACCATGAAAGATGGGAAGCGTAGGCCAGAGATTACACGGATTCATGACACTAGGCATAGCAATTCTAATGGAGCATGGTGGCTGTCTAAAGCAGCACTTCTCAAACTAACATGCATGTGATCTGATTCAGGAGCTTTGGGGAGCCTGGGGATCTGCATTTGCAACAAGTTCCCAGGGGATCCAGATGTAGCTGAGACTACACTTGATCTTAGCCAAAAGGCCTAGAGGCGATTATAGCTGAGACTATACTGGAGGACTGAGGTGAGAAGCATGAAGATCGGCCCCAGGCTCAATAATAAAGAATTCTGAGACTGTTTAGAACTAACTGAGACTGGCCCAACCAGAGAGGGGTGTGACACTCCTACTACATTTTCCCCCCTCTGAGTAAACCTGGGAGAAAGCACTTCCTCCATCTAGAAGCTACTGTGAAGTTTAACTCAGAACTGTTGATTCTTTGGGAAAGGACCCGGCCTCAACTAGAAGCAAAGAGGAGACTGCTGCCTCCCCTGGCCACCCATTCCAGTATTTTATGGTGCGATGAGAACAGTCATAGGTAAGGACTGAGATGACAGCAGCAGCCCTGTCTGCAAGTCCTGGATGTCGGAGTTGGTGAGAGGGGAGAAATGGAGCTGCACTGCGGGCGTTTATGTGACAGACTCAGGCTGAGCAGGCCCTGATTGATGACCAGTCACCAGGGCGGCCTCTGACAGTCTTGGCACGCGCCCAGAAAGGACCTCTTCTCACCACTGCTCCACCCTGACCTTTCTGCAACAAGAAGCCTTGAATTTGGCACTTTCAGACACAACAATTATGCAGAGAATCTGTTGGCTGTTTGAGCCAAGAGGCCAAGTAGGAGGGTGTTGCTCTGTGTGCTTGAGTTTTAGGCAACATTCCCTACCCTGATGGCTTAATTTAGGGCAAGGCAGAAATGAATCGCTGCATTTCCAATTCATAAGTAATGATTAGCTGTGCTGCCAGTGGGATGATTCTGTCTGCTTCAACATCGCCCTTTTTTTTTTTTTTTTTGGAATAAAATCAGACAATCCATCCTTTTGCCATTACTGAGTGTCTAGCACTTTTTTTCTTCTAATGGTAATAGTGGTGAGCTATGAATAACATTTTCCTTCAGAATTTTTCCCCTCCAGTGAGGGTGCGGGTGTGAGGGGAGCCCTTGTAGAATCAAAGTAAAGATGTAAAAATGTCTCACGGCCACGCATGTCAGGTTAGCTTCAAACGGGCAGAAGGGATGACAGGAAGCCCTGCTGGACCACGGTGGCGTGGTCACTCACCTTGTCAAGGTAGGAGTAGCTCCACACTTTCCCGTCGGCGAACATGCGGGACACGATGCGGCCCTGCTTGTCAATGTCTGTCCTCTCGCTCATGGCCCCGCGCTGAAGGCCAGCCAAGCGCCCATTGAAGAAGTAGGAGACGTTGACGGCAGCCAGCCCGCTGCTGGGGAGCCAGAGGAAGGGGCGGCCCACCTGGTCATAAATGATCCTCAGCGTGAACTTCCGGTGATCATCATAGATCTTTTCTGTCCGGATATTCCGGTCATAGTCGATGGACAAGAGATTTCTTCCATGGACCTAGGAAAACACAAGAGCCTGCTTTGAAAGACACCGCTCAGGCCCATGCCAGGCTTCTGTGGAGGACGTGGCAATGTGCAATGGAGAAAGAAGTAACTGTGACATTACTTAGAATGTTGCTTTCTAAACTTCAACCTTACAACACACATAGAAAATGGCAATATTTATACAGTGCATTGGATATGGCTGAGCCAGGCACGGCCACCACAAGCAGTGAGGTAGGCTGAGGCGTGTACAACTACAAGGGGTGCTATCATGTTACAGAAAGTGTGAACAGTGAAAACTGTGCAGTGTGCAAATTACACAGCCACACATCATAGCCCCAGACCTCAGGGTTTTGACAGCCCTGCCTCTCTACCCTGGGGACAAGATAATTTGCATACTGTAATCCTTTCTGCCACATTATCAGCTGGGAAGCTAATGACCTTTAAGAACAGGGGCAATAATTTCTCCTGAAATTTCATATAAAGGTACCTAAGAGGGTGAGGAGGAGGATTTAGGAATCCACATTTTGCAAAGACCTGGGAATATAAAGGCTCATTCCAATGTGAACTCCTTTATTTCAAATACCAAGTGGAAAGTCTTGCTACTGTCGCAGATGCAAGGCACCAGCGGGGACCGCTCTGCCAGGCTGGGGACTCCAACAAAGGGAATGCCTGCCTGACTCAGAGTTGAAAGGGACAGGGGAACACTTCCAGACACAATTTAATATTCATTTAGGAGTTGATCCGATCAGAGCGGAAAGGCTGTCCCAGAAGGCAAGGCTGGCTGGGAGACTAGACTCTCATTAGGGGCAAAGGAGGGGGACTCTTGAGGCTCGGCGAGCCCCAAGTGAGCGGAGGGCTGGATGGGAATGAAATGAAGCCGACTCTGTCCAGACTTACAACATAATCGACTGCAAATCCAGGCGTCCCTGGGGGTGGGGGGTGCTGGAAGCAAGGGAGGATGTAAACAGGCAGAAGGGAGAGACTGCAGAAACGTCTGCTCCCTCCTCTCCTTACTCTAGTCATCAGCCACACTTCGTGGTGACAGGGTCCCTGATGGGAACCACACCCACAGCACACGCTGAGGACCAAGAGACACAGGCATCATGCGAGGACTTTGCACCCACTGTCTGAGTTGATGCTCACAGAGATCTCTTGACAAATGAAACGTGAAACAGAGAGGTTACATAGCTTGCTCGAGGTCACACAGAGTAAGGAGGTAGGGCTAGTCTGCAATACCACTCAGACACTGGGTCAGCTTCACTGCCTCTGGTACTACATTTCCGTACAGTGCCCTGAACTGTGTCAAATGGTGAACAGAGTGTAAACCATTCCCACACCCTTGAGGGCTCTACAGAGCAGCTTATGGGGACACAAGGAATAATTCTAACACCAGAGACATCTGCATTTTGTAGAACAGCTTTGTGCCCAAAACAGCTATATTCTTTGCCCTCCTTTTTTTTTTTGGTACTGGGGATCAAACTTGGGTCCTTGTGCTTGAGGGGCAGGCGGCAGAACCACTGAGCTAAATCCCCGGCCTACCCACCCTCCTTTGAAGATGCTGGTCTCCTATAAGATGTTAGTGGTGGTTATTAGCTGTGTGTATTCCTTAGGGAAGCTGAAGTCCCCCTTCCTACTTTTCCTAGGTGATATGTGCATGTAATGCCAGGTACTCCAGCATTCGTCTTGTGAATATGAGGTGATTTTGAGAGTGGAAACTCGCAGGATAATGGCTCATACAGAAAAAAAGTCTAGATCCCAGGGGACCTAGGTGTCTTCACTGGTCATCCATATACCCATATACAAATTGCTTTCCTCAAGGCTTTAGACAGGTCATAAGAAAATAATAAGAGTGTAGCTTATTTAAACCTCTGTTATTTCTAATCTGTTACCAGCAGTTGAAACTAATCTAAATTCATACAAGTATCTAGTACTTTCATAGATATGGTGCTAGGGGCTTTATATAACTTATCTCACTTTAAATTCTTATAATTTGTGTAGAAATTATTTTATATACAGGTGACTAAACTCAGAGGAATCCCATAGCTACACAAGGATTTGAACCCGGACTACCTACCAGATTCCCCAGGCCACTGGGGTTTCCATGGAGTACTACCAAGGGGAAGAGGATGGAATATTTGGCCAAAAGAATGCATCAAAGCACAGAGAAAGACGAGAGGGTGGTGAGTTCTTGGGATTTTGTGAAAACCCAATGTGTGTGGAGGAATCATGGACAAACCTGTGGCCATGGGGAAGAACACTCCAGAGCCAAAGTGGGAAGACAAATGCTAATGAATGCTGTCTGAATCACTGGGGAGCTCACCCCCCAGAGTCACCATTTTCATTGTTTTGTTTGTTTTTTGGTACTGGGGATAGAACTCAGGACCTTGCGCTTGCAAGGCAGGCAGCAGAACCACTGAGCTACATCCCCGGCCCAGAGTCACCATTTTCAAAGCAAACACAAGCTGGGAGTCAAAAAGATGACTTCCTCTGCAAACAGAATTCTGGCTGTATGGCATTCCTTCATCTGGGACAAACACGGAAGGCGGTCAAGTTTCTTGAAACTGTGTGCTTAAGAGTTTTAGTGCAGGGCCTCTTCAACACCTCCTTAGCTGAATGGATGCAGGAAGGATTTTCAGGGCTCCTGGAGGCAGCTGCTGATGACTCCCCACTGTGTGACTTCCTTCCTGGCCTCCGGGCTATCGTCCCTTCTCCTCTTCCTTTCCCCTTGTTTTCTCCCTTTTGCGACTCTTCACCGGTAACCTGGGCTCCCCAGTGGATCTGTCATTCTTAGGCTGTGCGTCTCTGCCTGTGCCATGCAGGCCCACAGCACTCCCACCAGCCCCACTGTATGCACAACGCATGCATAGTTATAAGTGAGCCCTGCACGCTGGCACATACGGCAAGCGGGAGCGCCATGACCTGACCCAGAGCCTGTCCTCCTGAGTCTAGGCTGACCCCGAGGCTGGGTTGGGACTGTGGCCCAGGGCCGCCATCGGGCTGGAACTGTAAAGCACCTGGCACTCTCTGTGCACCCTCACCCTCTTCCGGCTGGATCAGCCCCAAAGGCAAAGGGGCTGTGGGCTGTGGGCTTGTAACAAGGCCCTATCCATCCTCAGTCACCTGGGAAAGACTGACAGGTAAATCACTATCATGTATCAGAGCCACGAAGTTTTATACACGTGCATATGCACGCTCTCAGGAAAAAGACCAACACGGAAACCATAGGTATAATCATGGCTACCATGACAGCAACATTCATATCTGAGGGTGTCAAGATTACAGAAAGACAAAACACTGGGCAAATACAGAAGAAGGTCCTCAACCTCTGGCTGCCACCATCTGGTTTGTGATTACCTGGAGCTGATGAGGCCTCTGGCCCCTGGCCTGGATCCACCAACTATTAAAAAAGTAGTGACAGTGATTAACTATTGATAATAACTGTTGATATTAGGGTGGGTTTTCACTCCCAAACTCACCATGTTCCTGGGAATAAAATTTTGATACCACTGGTTGAAGTTTTTTTTTTTTTTTTTTTGCAACAAGGTCTTGCTATGTAGTTCAGGCTGGCCTTGAACTCACCAGGTAGCCCAGGCTGGCCTTGAACTCTAGATGATCCTCCTGCCTCAGCCTCCTGAGTGCTGGGATTACAGGTGTGCACCACCATGCCTGGCTCTGGAGTTAACTTTTGAAATGTGAAATTTCTATAAGAATGTCCAATCCTTCTAAAAATTAAACACAATAAACTCATTGAAAGGTAAGCAGAGTTCAGGACTCTTGTGTAATTTAATCAAGAATATTCACCAGGAGGAGGTGACTGGGCTGTGGGAGAGACGGTGCAGGGTCCTGGGACAGGCAAGTGTGGCTTTCGTGGGTGCTGCCCCCCAGTTAGAGCACGCGGGAGCTTTAATTTAGCCACACTCTTCTCTTATTCTGAATTAAACTACCCGTCTAGCGATATTTAAATTAACCTTGAGGCTTCCTGGAGAACATAAAAGTTATTTTGAAATATTTTCACTGCCAGGATCAGCACAATTCCCTTCCCAGCCGGCTCGGTAGGAATTCAGTGATAGAGAAAAGCAATTTTTAAATTAATACAACTTTGTGTTTGTAAGGAAGCTATTATTTTTAATCATCGGGCATTTTCCTCAGCCTGGCTTCCCCAGTTAATAAAACTCAGCTATTTAGCTTAGTTTTTATTTTTGCAGAGGGCAGACCTTGGGAAGCAGTTTCCTCTGAGGAACTGGCCCCCAGAATGTTTTGATCTCACCAAGCACACGCCTGTCATGGGGAGGCTTGTAAAAAACCCAGAGAAAAGGAAACACTGTTGTCAAAATGGTCCTGCTGGGCCTCTAACTGGTGACTCTAACTTAGCTCTGGGGGCAATGACAGGAGCTGGTGACTGGAGAAATGGGGAGGAGGAAATTACACAGGGCTGGATCCCCTCCAGGAAATGGAACTGCAGCGCAGGAGGAGAGATTTGGGTTAGGCACACTGAAAGACCCTTCTCATTCCGCTTGGAGTAAGGGAAACCCAAACAAGATGAGCGAGGGAGGTTGCGAGCTTCTCTCATGTTTGAAGGCAGCAGTGCCCGCCTTGGAGAGTTGAGTATTCACTGAGGTGGAGGAGAAGCCTGGTGCGCTGACATCTTCATTTCCTTTCTGGGCCAGTCCTCTGGGATTTACACTGGGCTCTCCCCAGCTCCCACACGATCAGACTGGATGCGGCACTGGGATCAGCACTTGTGCAGACAAAATAACTTGCCATAAATTTCATATTAGCTTAAATAATGCATCATTAGCAGGGTAAGCTCTGCAAACACATTAAATAATGTATTCCTCAAGCAAACATTAGTTTTTGGAATGGCTTGCTGTTTTGGTGAGTGGAAAGGTGGGAAGACCTGAATTTGAGTTGCGGTTGTGACACTGATTAACTCTGTCATTCCAAAGCCATACTGTCGCTGCGGATTCCTTCATTTTCCCATGTGTGATGGCCTGTGAGCTCCCAGCGGACAGG